ATTTCTTTTGCAATCACAGTGCAAACGTGGTCGCGCAAAGTTAGGTTAACTTTTCAGCCGAAGTATTGTCTTTATTCTATCGTTTTTAATTTTGAACAAATGGATGAATATTTTACTTGAAATGTTGCTCAACTTTCGGATCTGTGTCATCAACAGTTTTCAAAGAAATAAATTTAGAAGTTCCATACATTTCCAGAAATTACACTGCTTTGTTGTTTCAATCCCTATTGCACTTATTATACAGGATATTCCTAAAATAAGCAACTGAACTTTAAGAACGCATTACTAAAAAAGAAATGTATGAACACTGGCTTCTAAATGCTTGCTTTGTAAATTATGGAATTTGAAAGTTGCACATTAATGGAAAGATACCAGCATCAGACTAACCTGTTGATTATGAAAGTATTGTTTGCTATTATTCAGACAGGATAGTGGAATGTAAACAGTACTAATTAGATAGTGAATAATGTTAAGAACAATAGTGTTAGTTAAGTTTAACTCTCTAATGCATAATGCATTTGATCTGGAACTTACAAAAATAATCCCTATGTAGTTTTCTGAGAAAAGTTTACAGGATTTGAATATTTACACTTATTGTTATGTTTGAGTTTTATAAATATACATATAACTAAGAATCAATTAATTCTGTAAGAAACACATTAAAAACTATAACTTCAGAAGAAAAAGATCTCTCATCATATAATTATATGACATGTTTTAATCTTACAATGAGTAAAATGTATTCTAAAGCTAAGATGCTTAATTAGGAACACTGAATTTAATTAGTAGATTGCGGATTTTTATGCAGATACATATTTTTCGTGTTGTATATGTTCTGCATATTTTACCTAAGGGGCAGATGACTGAATATGCTGCATATTTCCTGCATATTTTACATACCTCTATTTTATTATCAGTACTCCTTGCAACAATTTGCGAATTGTGGTTCATGAATCATAAATGACTCATGATACTTCGGTGTAGCTGTCACATAATCAGTTCATAATAGGCCTGCTCATACAGTTTGTATTCATGATTAGTGGTATCCAAAGGAAAGTACACAGTAGCGTCAGTTATAGACCAGCACAAATGTATTGAGGTCTATTGGGATGATTAGTTCGATTCCATCATTAGATTGCTGATCGTTCGAAGTGTGCGTTCATTGCCGTACAATGCCGAAAACATAAACAGCTAAGCAAGTTATGTTAACCAAATGGATAAATGAAGTAGCTGATACAAATTTTATGAAATGGTTGAATGAAAAAGACGCAGCATCAATTAGAACTGTAAAGAAAATCCTCGAGAAGGAAAATGTACATCAAGATCTGATATATATTAACACCCACTATAGCACTCTCCTTGTCAGCATACAAAAATTGGAAAAGTGGAAGATGCCTTTATCAGCATCAATGGAACTAGTCGAAGAGATTGTAAAAAATATGAAAAGCATACGTGGTACTTTTGGAGAGAAAATCAAGGAGAAGTTTAAGTGCATTTTAAACAAAAATCCTGGCTATGTTTCATTATCAGAAATTGTCAAAGTTTTAAACGATGCATTGACAGAAGGAGCAGAAGATGTTCCAGCACGGTACTGGAGCAAATTTAACCGTTTGAGTCTCAAGTAGCGCGATTGCGCTGTTCAGATTTTATGTCGAGAAAACCCAGCACATTTCGATAGTTGTGGACAACTGACAGTGCGTTACTGACTGTCGAAGTCGGGTGCTCAGATTTACTCACGCAAGTACATCACACAGCTCCTTCTTTTAAAGTAAATAATACATTTCACAATAGGTACAATACTGTAATAATAGTGCAATAATATATTACAAAATAAAATATTTTGTATTTCATTGCTATCTTCTCAATAATTTTTATCGAACAAAACTTGAAATATTTATAAACTTACAGTACGCATATGTAACAATACAGATGTGCAAAACATGAAATAAACGAAGCGCTATCGCGCCGCTTGGGATTTGTCGACGTAAAATAAAAGAAGCGCTATCGCGCTGCTTGGGTCTTCTCGTACTCATTTAGAGAAAGCGCGATTGCGCTGTTCGGGATTTTTCGACAGTGTTTTTTCAATGTCCCCTGGAACGGTTAAATATGCACCGATTACATCTTGTGACGTAGAAAGATAATTTTCTGCGTATAAATTAATTTTTTCCGACAAGCGGTACCATTTTACTGTAGAAAACCTTGAAAAACAATTATTATATATTGCTGTGTAAATTATGACAAATAAAACGACGGTGGAGTCAAAAGTGTTCGAACGTTGTTTGTGTATTCCCTGCATATTTCCTGCATACTTTTTGCATATTTCTTGCATATTACTTCCATATGAGGATACATTTTAACTGTATAAAAATCCGCAGTCTAATAATTAGTTGTCTAAGAATGTATGACAATATTCAAGTAATTCTCATGATTTTTAGTTTAATCTGGGATTACATTCATGGGGGCCTAGTGTTGACAGTACCCAATACAAATAAATATAGTACAACATAGTATAAGTTTAATAATACAAGTAAATATAGTAGTTAGTGATGAAAAATATATAATATGTTCTCTATTAGATCCCCATGTGTGTATTCCCGACAGTAGATCCTCAGGTAGGTAATCCTGGGTAAACTTGTAAGACAGTTTCTAGTGCTCCATGGAATAGATCACTGACTCAATATTTTCTTTCTCTAAATATAATCATAATAATTCCAAAACGACTTTTAAACTGATTTAAAGTCGTTTCAAAATTCTAATTATATTTGGTTGTTTTCATCGATCGATTCAGATAAACCGAATGATTTTTAACATATTGTCTGGAACGATTTCAAATATTCTTGTCGAAAGAATGAAACGTGTCATGATCGAACACGAAATTGCTCATAATTTGCTGGAAGTTCCACTCGTGTTCGCGCGGATACGCTTGCACCGTTAACTTAACACGGTAGATTTTTTCGTGGGTGGATCAAACAACTCTTACACGATCGGTAACCCTGAAATCTAACATGAACAATGTTCGCGAAGCATAATCTAATATTCGATAGTCCGACATCTTTGAAAGCTTTCGCGAACATTGACGACCCTCACACTGGAATATTGACAGTGTTCATAGTTTTCAACAATTTCTTTAACATTTTGGTCGAACAGAGCTCATAAGCTCTAATATTCTGGTAAGTAGAACTGAACGCGAATGGTACCGAGTAACCGATTCGATTTCAACAATTTGCTGTACAACGAGTCTGACTTGTCATGAAATTTCACATATTTCAATAATATCATCAGACGAATACTCCAATGCTCGGAGTCCGGATACGGTCGACGCGTTACCCGTGAGAGTTGGGCAAATTTTATTTACGAATAATGAATAAAAATTTTTGATTCATTCTTGCATCAATTTCCGTTCATGTGTCGTTAGACATCCAGACAAACGAAGCTGCAGGGAAAAATTGGGTTACAAAGAAATCCTAAAATTTTTATTCATTATTCGTGAATAAAATTTGCCCAACTCCGCCGTGAAGAGTCGACGAAGTTGCTCTTGCGCTCGCAAAAACCTAAATCTGTCGGAAGTACGCGCAATCATGGTATTTACAGGGCAGTGTTAGAAATATCCGAGTTAACGCTAGTAAAAGGCAGGCACTAAGTGACTCTTCAAGGTTTTTATTCCCTCGCAAGCAGAATGCAGACCGAAAATTACGACACATTTATGTCGTTCTTCTCGGTATTTTCGCGCGCGTTAACAATAAGCGACACACCAGCATACATTGTCGCAGATGATACCAACGTTGGGCAAGTTTAGTCAAAGTAACAATAAATAACATACCATTGTTAATTACTCACAATTGACTATTAAATTAATCGTTCGTAAATTATAATTAACGCGTTGACTGTCACGTTTGTTTTCCATGTTTAGGAATGTCCTTGATATTTGCTCAAATTTTTGGTTTGCTACAATAAGGAGGTTAACTCCATTTTTTATACTTTTTTGTTATGTATCCTATTTTATTAACAAAAATGTGGTCTTTTACTTGATATAAAAAAAACTTGGCTCCAAAAAGTATGACTTTTTTGCAGCAGATTAACAAATAATAAAGGGAAATAGAAATATAACAAACGGTTCTGTTATGAATGTCATTTGGCTCCGAAAGATATGATTCACTGTAGCTTTACTAGTACAGATAAAAAAAAAATATTAAAAGGAAGCATGAATTACAATGGACAATCTTCAGCCAGCTTGCAAAAACTCATTCTCATTAAAAGTTACAAAATATAAAGGTATATTAGATCTTGCAAGAAATTTTAATAAATCACTTCTGACTGGTGATTAGAGAATTAATATAGATTAGATGAATACTCTACTGTATCATGGTATTATGGCTATTGTTTGAACGCTAGAGTATCTGCACATTTTATAAACCTCAGGGGACAAAGGAAGAGAAAACAATATTTATATATATATATATATATGTGTGTGTGTGTGTGTGTGTATACCACGGTGAAAGACGGTTGTAAAATTATCCTCTAAGAATACAAAAACTTGGCAATATATCGTGTTGCTGGTACTTGATTCGCTGCTGTCGCGTGTCGATAATTTCAGAGCTGTAAGTACACACTGAGAATGCACAATTCGCGATTTTATCGTTCAGGTCCTTGAAAGCATCGAAGTTCATCATCCCCTTATGCTGAATAACAAATGTATAAAACATGAAAAAAATTGCACCTTCGATTTCCATGTTACTTTCTTTTCGTTTACTTCACGCCTTACGTAAAAACACGCGTTAATCATCCACAAATTGGTTCAGCTACTCCAAGACGAGGGTTAGTAGAACCACCACGTTCGCCAAAAGCAATGGAAAATATTGATGTATACACGAGGATATCAAAAAGTTTCCGAAATGGCACTGCAGAAAAATAACGGATCGATCTAAGATTTAATTAGCAACCACTCCTCTGAAAGTAATCCCATTTAGGGGCCGAGGCAATGATCTCAGTCATTGTTCTTCTGGAGCTTAGATTTACTCATCTATGACCTAACCTAGACACAAGAATGAAGGACTTTTAAAAAGTGGCCCAACAACGATAGAACCGTTGGGACTATTTCATTAACTCCTCAGGGGACTTTTAGATTTAGTCATTTTCAGGAAACTTTCCGATACTCCTACGTGCTTGTTTCGTCGTGCGAGAAAAAAGAAAGCCGTATACAGTGTACACTTTTATCATTTCCCAGCCATGCGTCCCTCTTTTTCCGCGTTTTCTTAAATACAATTGGCTGCGTTCTACAAAAATAGTTCATTCTCTTCGGCAGCCTCGACGTTTTTCTTCTCTTTTTCGTCTTGTCGAGACGGTCGCATTGTTCTAAGGTGCGCGACGCGGTCGCGCTTAAAAATTCGTGAACGATTCGAACTGGACACTTGCCGTTACTCATCGCCGAGTCCACATTACTTATTACCGAACATCGATTAACAAACTGGAGTTAATATCTCACTATTTAACATCCTCGTAACAGGGTCCGTCCGTGACCCGAAAGTCCTGGCTATGTCTTCGAAACGTTAATGATGATCAACACACGCGCTACGGGCGTTCTTTCTGTACAGCGGTTAACGCGTCAACGACCGTGTCCCGTAAGCAACAGGCCATTTTCACTACTTGAGAACAAAAACAAAAAAAAAAAAAAAAAACAATAACAATTCGCAAATGGAGCGCTACGTCGACTAAGTACTTAACGGGTTCTGGCTAGGAGTGTGCGGGCTGTCTCGTGTTATGTCGGGTACCCGTACATCCCTATTTACCTCGCGACACTTGTCTCTAATCTACAGCTAACGATCGCCAAACGAGGCATCGGAGAACATCGAAGGGTCGCGAGTTCTCTAACGTACCGTTTCAAGTATCTACCGTGGAAACGTTATGGTACAGAATACATGGAAGAATGCTACGTTCACGATATGTAACACACCGTTCGAATCCTAACGAAAATCCATACTCGGCTACCTCCGTCACGCGACTCGTGTCCCTTTTGTTCGGTTTCTAGCGCCACCTCTCAACTCTGAAGAATCGATGATAAATATAATCGCTAAAACAATTTTCACTCGGCACGTGTATATAGAAAAATCCCGAGTCTCCCCGTCGTCGATCAACGATGCATCGACGCGGCTCTCGACTATCGGAGTCGTAGATCCGTTAATGGAGATCAGGTCCCGACAATTGTCAGGTATGTTTCGCGTCGTCCGACGATTCGCTGGCGAACCTTCTTCAGGAACGGATGGAAGACGTGGTCGAGGACGTCGACACGCAGCGATTCAGCTTGCTGTCGATGATGATTTCGTCGCCGTTTCGAATGTTGTACCGGTAGAGCTGTTTGTTCGGGTACAACATTTCTTCCGGACCGTACTGCGCCTTCATTTCCTGAAATCGTTTATCACAAGATCAAGTGCATGGAGGACGATCGTGAAAAATGAACGGGATGCCTAGAAATACACCAACTATCGGTCGCTGACATTTTTGCTTCGTATAATGGATAGTGATATTCGTCTCTAAAGTCACTTGTGTTTACAAAAGAGTATACATTATGTAAAATAAGTATCCGGAATTTGTAAATAAAACTCAAACTGCTTACTCATCATCCAAATTTATTTTGTCACCTTCAAAGTAGGCATCATCAGAAACAATGCTTCTCCGTCTTCAAAACACTTTCTAAACGTTGAAGAATGTAGCGCCTTCATCTCCTTCTGCGAATTTTCTTTTATGGCCTCTATCGACTAAAAACGCCTTCCCCGAAGGGGTAATTTGAGTTTCGGAAAGTAGAAAAAGTCACGGGGGGCCATATCTGGTGAATACGGTGCTTGTTCGATCACATTTGTTGAGTTCTTGGCCAAAAATTCGCGTACCAAGATCGATGTGTGCGACGGAGCATTATTGTGGTGCAGGATCCAAGAATTGTTTTTTCACACATCTGACCGTTTTCGGACGAATATTTTCACGCAAGCGTCTCATGGCGCTCAAATAATATTCTTTATTTACTGTTTGTTCATCTGGAAAGAATTCCGAATGAACAACACCACGATAATCAAAGAAAACAGTGAGCATGACCTTAATTTTCGAGCGACTTTGACGTGCTTTTTTAGGGTTTGGTTCATTTTCTAAGCAATATTCCGAAGATTGTTGACTTGTTTGTATATCGTATTCAAAAACCCATTATTGGAATTGGATGAAATAGCAGTACTCTTTATAAGTAAAAGTGAAACTTTATTAGATGGTTCGGAAGGACGTCTTTACTCTGTTAAAACTGAACAAGAAGTGAAACGACGTTTAGATCCTCTAAAGGAAAATCTGACGTCCACTTAAAACGGAAAGAAACCATTGCCTGCATCATGTTTATTTCCCTGGCCTTCGACTACAAAGACAGACCCAGGTCCCTAGGCCCGATGGTACCAATACGGTCATCGTATGCAGACAATGGACAGTGTTTCTCACTGTTAGATTCAGTTTTGTAAAGAATTATTTATTAATAATTCAACACCCATGTTTTGTCACCGGTTATGATGCGTTTCATGAAGGTAAAGTCACTAGAAGCTCGTAAAATCATGTCTTCAACAACTGCTTTTCGATGTTCTTTTTGCAGACAATTCAGCTCCCAGCGACGCGTCTCATGCCCAAAACTTCAGTTAAAATGTTATGTACAGATATGTGAGACATTTCCACTTCATGAGCTACCTCTCTAACACTCAGGCGACGATTATCGATGACCATTTTTTTTTATCTTTTCGATGTTTTCGTGAGTCGGAAGCATTGACGATCGACCGACACGCGGCAAATCTTGCACTTCTTCTCGGCCCTCTTTAAATGCCTTGTACCATTCGTATGTTTGCGTTTTTTATAGGCACCACTTACCATAGGCTTTCTGTAACATTTTTAACGCTTCGACACAAGAAATTTCGTTAGAAACGCAAAATTTAAGACGAATTCTTTGCTCGACAGTTCTTTCCATCGCAAAAATCGCAGAGCACACTCGAGATCGACTGGTGTAAATAACTGCCGTGAACACACTGGTTGTCATATTGCGATCAAAGGGGCTAGCCAAATAAGTATGGTAAAAGTGCCCCCAAACCAAATTAAACGGAGTTAATACCACTCGATAGATGGTTCGAAGAAACCCCTTTTCACAGAATTTTCACCCGGTATGACAAAATGTTGGCAATGTCGCGGATGCTTTACCAAAATGATCAGCGTATTGCGCCGCGCCGCGCCGTGGCCGTTTTAATCAACAGAAGTCCGGTACCACACGTATTTGAAACTACACATAGCGACCAGTTAATAAAGTATGTAAACAAATATATTTTAATTATATTTATTTTAAAAGCATGTGTGGCCTTTTTCTATATGAAAAATTAGGAAATATGAATTAATAATTCTTTAATAATTATTTCAAAAACACTTTTCCAAAAAATCTGAAAAAATTACGCATCAATAATCATAATGTTACGCTATAACTGTAAAAATATGAACATGGTCACGTAAGTAATTAATGCAATATAAAACTTTTTCACCATATTTTAATCATTTTTTATTTTTTGGACTACGTTCCAACCCTTCGAAAAATCTGAAAAAATTAGAGATTACTAATTATTTTGAGAGCTTTATACTGTATAAAAATAAACGTGGACACTTGATAACTTCGACAAAAAATCGAATTTGCATCCAAAACTTCTGAAAAAATTCTCAAATATGTACATCAATCGATAGAATAACCATGATTTTTTTCATAATTTTTAATTGAGCAGAACGGGAAATATTAAGGATGAAACAAAAAATGATTTTCACCCCGTAATTACCCCTGTAGTAGAGACACCGGGTTGAAACTCTGTGAAAAGGGGTTTCTTCGAACCACCTAGCGAGTGGTATTAACCCCGTTCAATTTGGTTTGGGGGCACTTTTGCCATGCTTATTCGGCTAGACCCTTTAGCGTAACAACTGAATACAATGTTGCCTACATACACATAAAAATTTGTTTCAATACATGCACTGTGGTATTTGAAAGTGAGAAATTCCGGGAACTTATTTTACACAATGTACGTTAAAATTACAACCTATAAAAGCGACTTGGACACGAGCTCGAGAAATAAGAGACACTTTGTTGGATCGAATGATGGTTTTAAAAAATGATTTACCTCTGATAGTTACTTTATTTAAGGTTTCAGAAATTTAGCAGGACGTAAAGGATCTGGAAAAGTGGATGGGAATTGAGGTAGGCGGTGCTATATCGAGATTTCGTGTTTTCCAAGGGATCTCCCGAGCAACCAGAAGTTCTGAAAACACAAACAAGAACACCCGATAAAGCGACGCGAAACGAGTTGGCTCACCTGATCGACGTAGAAGAGTCTCATCCTGTTGGCTGGAATTTTCACCATCGTTTCCAGCTTGGTTTTCAGCTCAAAAACCGTTCTGTACACGTCCACGGACCGTACCTACAAACGCCATCAATCTTTACAATATTCAGGCACGTTTTTCTAGCGACACTGCGTCCCTAGTGACTTTACGGGCGCCACAGTGACGCCTGGCGGGATAAGAAGGGAGTTATGGGATGTTACGAGAGTTTTAGCCATAGATCTGTTGGAACATTCTAAAGAAGTCTTAGAAATCAAAGCCTGTTATATAGAGATTAAATAAATACTTTATGTTACAAAGTGTTTGCAAAAATCCATGTTCTTTTTTTCCATGGATTACGAGCTTTCATTACAAACTATTTCTGTATGACAAATTTACAGGCATTGAAATTTCCGGTTAACTTGTTTGAATCGAACTCGATGAATATTAACTGTTTTTGGAGACAATTTACCTCGACAAGATCTCCGTAAGTGAACGTAACCTTGACCCTCTTCTCGGGTGTCAGGTCGACGTGTACCAGCGGATCCAGCTTTCCGTGAATAGCCACGAGCTCGGAGTACCTGAAAATGGAGGAACAGGGTCAAGTTGGGGTTCGTCTCGCCACGGCGACAATGATGACCGTGAAACTAGAATAGTTTTATGGGCTCTAGTCCTGACTAGAATAGATGGCGACAAACGTAGAGACCGAGAAGGAAACGGGAACGAAACCACGATGACACGAATTCGATTAAAATACGAACGATTACCATCCGTGAACGAGACAAAGAAAGAAAAAAAAAAAAAGAAAAATGGTAAAACAGAAAGAACTACAATGAGAGTCTGAATCGAGGTACGAGTCAAAAATCTCGGGGTTACGACACCTTTCGGGTCTGTCTGCTTCCGGTTTGTCCATGTAGTACCGGATGAAGGCCCTCTCGGCGTCCTCGCGCTCCTGCGACGATATCACGCCGCCGCCATTTAATGTCTCAACGTTTGGAAGCCTGGCGATCAACAGTTGTCGCCTTTCGTGCTCGGTGTACTCCCGAGGACTCTGAAGAAACCGAAAACAATTCTTTTAAATTGGCAACCTTGACGCAAAATGTTCTTTGCATCGGTTTGTGCCCCCTTTCCACTACCTCCCCTCCCCTCCTTCCAACTACTAACGATACATGTCTAAATAAATTAAATTTATCATTTCGTGTCATGTTATTTAGAACATATCGATTTAGGCCATTTTCATAATCATTGGCACATAGACATGTATCCTCTTGCTATTGCAATTCCCTCATCCAAAAATATGTGCTCTTTCGACCTACTCTACATTCAGACGCGTCACCACACCTTTTATCTTTCGTCGCTTCGTACGACCTTTTTTGTTTCTTTCGTTCGGCTCGTATGTTTTGGATGAACTCGAACGGACGAATACTCGGAATTAGAAATCGAAGTTTCAGCTTAATTCGCGACATAATCGAAGACTAATTTGAACGCAATACGTAACGTTAGCTCGAAAGAAGAATACGTTTACGAAAGTTACAAATACGTTCAGACTAGTTGATTTCGTGCCAAGATTTTCCTTCGGCGTGGCTAAAACGAACAAATCCGGTGGCGAATACTAGATCAACTTGTCGTAACGGTTTCGCATCTCAGAAGCATTCCTTTTATTGGTCCCGTCGAACGTTCTTACGAACGTGAAATTTCGCTCGCGGGGCTCATTGCCTGACCACACAATCGTAATTCTAAAAATACTACATCTGTTTGGACCAGGTGGCGCACGGAGTGCTAAATCATCACGGGGCACTCGCAAGTGCGTTCGAACGAAAACGACTTTTGGATAGTATTTTTTATTTAATGATTCTGTTGAGCGAATAAAATTAAATGAAGCAAAATATACTTAGACAAAGTATATCGATCAGGGGTAAAAGGACAAAGCTCACCGATCCGAGGTTGTTCCACGAAATATCGAATAACGAATAGAAAATAATTGTTAGAATTCCAAGATTTAACGAAATATCATTTTGATAATAAATTAATAGAACAATCGTTAATCGGTTAGTCGTTAACATGTTTACTGCCATAGTAAGTTACAAGTAATCGACGCTTCAAATCTACGTGTCTTTAAAACGCTTATAAAGAATGAATTTGTTCCATCTTAGAATGTTCTTTGAGTTGTTAACACATTATTGGAATAAAAGTTTGCTCGTCTTTGACCGTGAGTAACTATAAATAGCTCGCAATAAACTATTTCCGCCCTGTCAATTTTTATCTCAACGAGTCATATGGAGTATCTCAGGAAAACGAGGTTAGGTTTCAATAACAGCATTTCAGCTGCACCTTGCTTCTTGCGCAGTTGCATACTCTTCTTGTTTTATTTCTTGTATGTATATTTACGACAGTGACTCATGAATTTATTCATATGATACTATATTACCTGTTTATGATGGAACCGGATAATTTATTCGTTAATAATAAGAATAACCCAACTAATACCGATAAAGCAACTGGGACAACATGAAAATATTTAAAATTATAGTAAAAAGTCGATTATACGAAAATCTGGTATAGATGAAAACGTTGAATAACGAGTAACAAATGAACAACTGTATATAATTTAGTTTCTAAGACTGAATTTAATATAAGTCTTTGTAGTTTGTAGTAAACTATTATTGGAATTTATTATCCCAAATAATCAATAAAAAGTATTGCATCATTTCTTAAGTAAAAATGATTAAGGAAAAATGATGATTAAAATTGTCTTAACTGCATGGTTCAATTACACAATGCTGTCTCCGAGGACCACACTAAATTCTAGGTATAAGCAAAACAGATAAATTGCGTTCGCAGAGAGCCACGCGGGACTGATGGCACGAACATAAATAACTACCTGTGGTCACGTGGAGGTCAACGTGTAACCCTTTTGCTAATGGCTTGTTACATTTAGCACATTGAATTTCATGCATTTTAGCATAAACTGAAAAATAATTTCACTCGTTCTTTCAGGTTTTCCACATTTTCTACATTACATACTACGTCTCGAATTTATACTGTTATTTATCGTTTGAAGACACGAGTTTGGAAAAATGATTTTAGCTATACTGTTGTAGTCTTCCAATAACCTAGGATAAGGGGAATATTTGATGAAACGATTGTTCACCTCGAAAAGAGGGCAGCCCTGAATCCTCAACGACTTGAGCACCGGGAACCTGGCCAGCCTCTCCACGTCGTCCCATGTCGACAGAAGAGTGCCGTTCACGTTGAGGAACCTGAGCTTCCTGAAAGGATCATGGGAGGACCTGACGTTCGATCCGCTGGACTCGGATTCCGACTCGGACCTGTCGTAGCTGACCTTGCCCTCGGTGTATATCCTGTTCCCTTTCTCGTCGACGTTCTCGTCGGCCTCAAAGTTGTTCATATTCTCGTTGTCTTGGTTGAGGTTCTCCTGGTCCTTGTTCGTGGTGGTCTCCTCGTCGTTTGAATTCCTATCGTCGACCAGGGCGAGCGACCTGAGGGGGCACTCGGCCAACACTAGGCTCTCCAGATTTGGGAACACGTAGCCCAATTTCGAGATCTCGTTCCACACCTCGACGGGATTCCCCGTGAAGTGGAGCTTCCTCACCGAGTCATTCCCATTCTCTGACTTCTGATGCTCAAGGTCGACCGTTCTGTACTCGTTCAGGGACAAATGTAGCTCCTCCAGGTTACGAAGCAGACGTACTAGACCCTGAACCGTCGACCAGGAGACCCTGGTGCCGTTCAGCACCAGGTTCTTCAGATGATCGTAGCTGCCGTGCTTGACTTCCAGCACCTCCGCCAGACAGTTAAAGCTCAAGTTGAGGAACTTGATCTTCGGCATGTGCTGCAGGATCCCGAACACCTCCGTCCATTGGGAGAGCTTGTTCTGCGCCAGGTCCAGCTCCTCGACGTTCTTGCATTTGTTGCGTAACTTTTCAGCGTCGTTTCCAGCCGACTCGATGTCGCAGTCCTGGAGCACCAGCAGAGCGGGCACCGTGTGACGCGGCGATTTCTTTGGGATGAAAATGCTAACAGAGAGGGCGGCCTTCGGCGAGCTGGACTCCGTCTCCTCGTCGGTGAGGGAGCACTCGGTCGTTGAACTGCCGTACTTCAGCTCCAGCGCTTCCAGCAACGACGGCATGTTTACTGCATTCTGGAACGAAACAACCCGGAGGGGTTAACGATTGTACGTCTAGTTAAATATACTTGAAATTGTATAACAAGGCGTTAATACTTCCACGTTCGTGATAGAATCTGCTAATATTTACTTAGCGTCTTTTTAATAATAATTACTTGTAAACTGCCAATTACAAACTACTTAGTACTGTTTATAAATAACTATACAGGGTGTTCGGCCACCTCTGGGAAAAATTTTAATGCGAGATTCTAGAGACCAAAATAAGACGAAAATCAAGAATACTAATTTTTTAATTGAGGCTTCGTTTAAAAGTTATTAACGTTTAAAGATCCGCCTCTAGAACGGCAATCTGAGAACAGCTCCGCGCGCGATAGTAGTTCTCACCACAGACGAGGAGTACGAATAGACCTTACATTCAATGTATTTTTTCGGCCCATTTTACAGGAGCTCTAGAGCTCCATTAATACGCATTGTTTGAATTTTGGATTATTAAAATCCTTCATTCCGTCCAAAAGTTATGATTTTTTCAACATACGCATGAAATTTCGGAGAAACATTTCTGGCCACACAGTATATTTACGTTAAAGAATTTTTTTCTCGAAAGTACGTAGGATTTCGAGGGTATGTGTGTTCATAAAAAATGATTGTAATTGACCCTCGCAACCGAAAATAATTTTTCCAGATAGATTTGAAATTTTTTTTTCGCCACCAAATTTGAGCAGCTACTCGAATTTTGTTCTCAAAAGTGCGTAGGATTTCGATGGTATGTGTAATTCATAAAAAATGATTGTAATTGACCTCTGCAACCAAAAATAATTTTTTTCAGAATGATTTGAAATTTTTTTAATTTAATTTTGTTAATAACTTTTTAACAAAACCTCAGTCAAAAAATTTGTGTTCTTGATTTTCGTCTTATTTTGGCCTCTAGAATCTTTCATTAAAATTTTTCCAAGAGTGGCCGAATACCCTGCATGATCTCTGAATCACCCAGAGACCAATTGATAATTTCTTATTTCTTAGCATTGTAAAAAATTCAACAAAGAATGATGGGCCAGCGAGTCTCTGACGGCAGAAGAGAAAGGGTCGCGTAGCAACGCGGTCGCAAGGTGGCTATCGACGCCACAGAAATAAAGATAGGGGCACATTCGCGAGAAAAAAACTGTCGAACCGGGCATCCTCGAGGAATACCTGGCCTGACCATATCCGCTAAGGTCGCAGCATGGTCCTTTTTGCGCGACGGAAAACCGGTATTCGGTTCCCTCGTCGTCGTTGGAAAATTATTCCGCGACCGAACGAGCCTCGCCCACGCGATGCGATTCTCCGATGCGCGAACATCACGAGACTCGTTTCGTTTCTTTTGTCCGCGGACAAAGATCCTCCCGACGCGTTTCTCGTCCTGTTGCTTTTGATCGGCGCCCGCGTGATTTTGTTAGGATTACGAAGAACGAAGGTTCAACTCGACAACCTGTGATTATTCGAAACGGTTGCTATAGATGGGAGAACGAGAGATTAGACTCGAAAGGAATCGAGTCGTATCGCGTTATGAGTTTTAGTTTGCTTTCGCAAGGTTCACGCGGCTAGAGCACTCGATTTATTCTGAATAGTAAGCTATTCGAACAGCCTCGAGGACGTCGGTACGCGTTAATACGGCGCAACGCTTCTCGTTGGCAGAGTTGGCGCACCGGAGAAAGTTAATTTCGCATGGCCGTTGAACCGATATCGCGATTACGTAGGGGAAGCCCGGGAGTAATGCAACGGCTATTATGCCTTGCTCGTCCTCTCCTAACGGCGTCTCGAGCGGGCCGCAGTTACCCTAACTCTCCTATCATCTCTTCCGTGCGATTTTTCAAGGGGATGAAACTCTGTTGCTCGTCCCCCCACTGTAAATCGATCTGTTATTTTTTTCTCCGAACTACACCATGTGTTCTGTACGCGATTCTACTCGCAATGCAAAAAGATAAAAAATTGTCTAACTTAACTCAGACCTAATCTAACCCACGAGTTAAAAAGCGCGAGACACTGCGTGTGCAGGGTGTTCTGAGAGAAACGCGACGCATTGGCCCCTTAACGATCAGACATTTTGCAAATTTAAATGTTTTCTGCGCGAGTATTTCACGTATTTTTATTTAAGTATTCGGATCAGAATCCCTGAATCCTGAAAGTTTTTCACATTTATCGGGCAAATAATGTGTTTGGTTTGCCAGCCTGTTTGTATCGACGATCACAACGCCATCTGCGTTCCGTGTTACTAAGCGTTCTAGCTGTTCGTTGCAATAGAAAACACTGAACAGACGAGGAATCACGCGAATGGAATGCGGTAGTTTCTAAGTGAAAAATTCGAGAAAGAGAAAGAGAAAGAGAAACGAAAAGAAAAGCGCAACGTGCTACGACGGGACGGACGATTACAGCATATCGCAGGAGCAACGGGGCATCGTTACGTCAGTTTGGCGGAGATTCGAGAAAATGCAGCAGGCGAAGAACGCGTCAAAAACTGCTGGAGATGGGCCAACCCCGAGTCGTTTCCGTTTACACGAAACTTCAAGCCACGCGCTCTCTGTGGCGGTATATGTACAGGCTGTTTTACTAAAAACAGGCCTCCTTGATATATATTTGTTATCTTAACCTATTAAGGACCAAATTAAAACATGTTTTACGAGTTTCCTCTACGTTTTAACTTAGAATTGTGGCGTCTGTCTTTGATGGAGGAGGGGATTCCCAAGACGATTATTAACGCAATTACTGAAATCTTTTTTAGAAAAGTTTAACCAACGATGTTGGCAATGCAATTTAACCATTAATCATTAGACGTTCTCGTGTTTCCACTAAAGAGAAATAGCCCACTAGTGAGCACCCGCCATCTTGAATACTACGAGTAACAGCTATTTATTAATATAAAATTCAAAATCTGTATGTTTGTAATTTCTCTATATCTTCTACCATTGTTATCGAATACATATGAAATTTTGCGTAGGTACTTTTTATGTTACGACGAATAATATAGGTTAATTTTCAAAACATTTACCTTATTGAAAGCGTTCTAAAAATGAATCGTGTTATTCGCTAACTCAAAATGGAGACTTCGCAATGGCCATCGTTATCTACTCGTTGAAATCACGACGACAGGTTGATGGGATTAGTCACTGAATAACGGGTGGTGTTGAAATACGGAAGATCCTTCGCGATGATTCCTTTTTGGTTGAGTAGGGGAAGAAGGTAGTGGATCAGGAACAAGGAACAGGTCGACTCAGAGGCTGAAAACTAGAAATTGAACTTTTAGGAAACGGAATTGTTTACGTATGGAAGGTTAGTTGCAATTATTTCGAATAAAGAGGCAACAAAATGATGTCCCAATAATTTCTACCTTATAAGTTTGTCGCGTAAAAGAACTCGTCCAAAAAATCGTTCTGCTTATACAGGGTGTTCAGCCACCCTTGGGAAATATTTTAATGGGGGATTCTAGAGGCCAAAATAAGACGAAAATCAAGAATACTAATTTGTTGATGGAGGCTTCGTTTAAAAGTTATTAACAATTGCGCCTGTAAATAGGTAACCTGCGTACAGGCGCAACTGTTAATAACTTTTAAACGAAGCCTCCATCAACAAATTAGTATTCTTGATTTTCGTCTTATTTTGGCCTCTAGAATCCCCCATTAAAATATTTTCCAGGGGTGACCGAACACCATGTATATTTGTTACTCTGTAACTGCCTGTCCTATTGCCTGCGACGACCAACGGACTCTATTATCGACAATGGAACTCAATTAGTGTCGGTTACTTTTATCGTTACCCAACTGATTGTAGATAATATAAATTGAATTTCTTCGTTGTTATATAAATCAAATGCTCGATTCAATATTATGTATTTTTTGTACACGGTTCTTTAGATCTTACTTTTCTATAAAGCAAAATGACTGTCATCGAGGCACCTAACCTATTCAAAATTATCCTAATAAAATTACACAACGTGTTTCGTTGCATCACGTGCCCTCGCAATGTTTGTTAACTGCTCTACCGTCGAACGAAGTAACAATGCTAAACGCGAGCATGCTACTTTCTCCTGAGGCGGTGATTTTAGGTGGAAAATATTAGCCAGTGTAAATCTAACCGTGCAAATTGAAACGGAGATACGAGCCGGAAACCGTTCATCGAGGAAACAATTAAAGGAACACCGATACTTTCTGTTTGAATCTCGTTCGAGACGTTTACTTTAGTGTATTCTCTCGCTGAGCACGAGGTACGACTATGATTCGAGAAACCATTTTTCTACTTTTATTTGTTTCTAATAATAATGTTACAATATTATATAGATAAAAGAACAATATACAGGGGTGTTCGGCCAGCCCTGGGAAATATTTTAATGGGGGATTCTAGAGATCAAAATAAGACGAAAATCAAGAATACCAATTTGTTGATGGAGGCTTCGTTAAAAACTTATTAACGTTTAAAGTTCCGCCCGCACTGAATTTTTTTTCTCGAAAATGCGCAAGATTTCGGGGGTATGTCTATTCACCAAAAATGATTGTAATTGAACCCCACAACCGAAAATAATTTTTCCAAAACGATTTGAAATTTTTTTTTCCGACGAAAAATTTCACACCTCGAATTTTTGTCTAGAAAGTGGGTAGGATTTCGGAAGTATGTCTATTTACCAATAATGATTATAATTGACCCCTGCAACCGAAAATAATTTTTCCAAAACGATTTGAATACTTTTTTTTCGTCGAAAAATTTAGGTACCCAATTAGATTTTCGGTAAAGAATTTTTTTCTCGAAAGTGGGTAGGATTTCGGGGCTATGTCTAATGGCCAAAAATGATTATAAGTGACCTCTGCAACAGAAAATAATTTTTTTTAAACTATTTGAAATTTTTTAATTTAATTTTTTAATAACTTTTTAACGAAGCCTCAATCAACAAATTGATGTTCTTGATTTTCGTCCTATTTTGGCCTCTAGAATTTCCCATTAAAATTTTTCCCAGGAGTGGTCGAACACCCTGTATAATTATATTATATTCTCTACTTTGAATTTAGACAGAGAAATGTCGAAATGTTCATTGGGGAATAAACTATGTTCGTGTATACTATCATCATTTTATCTATCATTTTAAATATGTAAATAGAATGTATTTATACAACGTAACAGTTTAGACTGGTTTAAGTTTCGCGCTCTCCGTGTTATATAACGCGTGAACCCCTTTTTAAATTCTTTTGTTCTTACGTGCACGCGTTCCACATGTTGAACGTTTTATTGTTCGGTACTGTTAGGTGTCTTTTAATTGATTGGAATGCGAGCTGGTCCATGATATGTTTACGTAATACTAATCCTCTAACATACATTTATTTGTATATGTGTCTCGAAGCAAGGTTCTACGCATTTTGCACGTCGCAAGAACTACAATAATGTGCAGTTTCTTTCCTCAACTTTTTACATCACTTGTTCATTATTCATTGCTAGACGCAGGCATAAATTGACAGCGAAATTGTGTCGGGCTGTCTGCCTTCGAATCATTCATAAACATACAAACATTTTATGCACAGAAGACCGACAGAGTTGATAATAAAGACGAACGGTGACGTGATAATAGAAGGAACGTTCAAGCTTAAGTCCGAATAAAATGTTGAAATACTGAAGTTAATATCTTTTAATATTTCTTGTACAGAATGAAAGAGCGCATTTTTTGGTGAATATAAAAGAAAATTAAACGTGACCTTGAAATAACTGAAAAGAGACCTAACCTAACAAGATAAATCACACGATTTACCATTTAATTTTTCCTAATGAAAATGCTTGTCTATCTTCTACTGTTTTAATGCACTAGCTTGGCCCAGTTTCATAGGACACCCTGTATTGTATACGACTAATGACATCTTCTGAATATTTATGCTGGCACATGTTTCATACCTTCGTGTACTACTTTATAACACATAATTATTCCTGGACGCGAGAGGCATGTCCCTGCGAAATTCTGCAGGTAAATGCGTGAACGTGCCAAATTTGTTTTTCATTTAATCCTATTAACGATATTTACAAATAAACTATGCCTAATTTTGGTACACTTTACGCGAAACGAGCAGTTAACAGGTTGAATTCGAGCAAGTGTGCAAACAGCTTGAACAGCTGACAATACGCCGAGTTCCGGTGGTTCAGCGACGTTAAGGGTGCGTTTGCACTACAGCGACAAACCACGCGAAAGATACTCAAAGAGCTTGACGCTTTTTACCGCGCGAGAACGAGCGTCTCTCTTCCGACGCGTCGAAAACAAAACCCATTAAAATGGACTCCCGTTCGAGTCTATTTGTTTTCCAGGAATTTGAAATGCATACTGCAACAGCAGTGTAAAAGCACCGTAAGGACGCGTTCTTCCCACTCGTAGCGACGCGAATCTAAATATACGTTGGTGTTGACGGTTACGAAATGTCAGACAGACACTGCCGCGTACTGGGTCAGTCAGGGAGCCAGAGATTCGAACGGTTGGTCCTGAGAACAACGTTTCGACTCTAGTTTTCTATTAGAGACGTTCGATTCCGATTCAATTTGTGAAAAAAATCGATTCTTTCGGTCGAATACTAAATTTCTTAAATTTTCAACTCACAGATGTTTCTTATAAACCACCCGAAAGAAAAACGTAAAATAGATGAAATTGTCAAATTCAACGGACAGTGTTTTTAAATTAAAAAATATTTAATTATCGTATAATCGGACATTGTCCAATTCCGTGGGATGCGAACGATAGCAGAAAATTGTGGAACGGCGATCCGTAAGATTTTTCATTTCTCGAATAGAATAACGTTCGCTTCGATCTCTCGTTAGCTCAAGGACTTAGAAAGTTACCGGCAGATACGAAGCAGAAAAGATTGGGCCACTCTCCAGTAACCGGCGAAACATTTTCTACCGTAATTTTCCCTGTAATGATTTTCGTTCGTCTGCAGACCGAGGGATAACAAAAACTGATAAACGATACTTTCTAACCAGAGGCGAAATAAAGAAAAAAAGGAGCCGCGGAGCCTTTAACGCGCGGTTTCCTTGTTACGAAGGAACGGCGAAAGATCTTTGTTTCACTTCGGAGGCCACGGTGAAAATCGATGGAGATCTATTCTTTTCCTGGTGGCCAGAAACAGCCGAGCCGGTAGAAGGAAATATCGACAAAAGTCCGGTGCCTTGCGTATGCTGCGCAAATGCTCTCCCGTCTCAGAATATTACTCGGTTGCCCAAGGTTGCCGTTCGCTCTGCTCACGACCCGAGCATTATGCACGTGCGCAGATACAGTGCTGGACACACAGCAGTCGCTAAATTCAATGGTCGTATCGAACAATTTTATTTACGAGCCAAATATAATTTTTCTCAAAAAGTTTTATTTTTATATTATTTAGAAAAAAGCATTCTCGCCGATAAATTAAAATTAAATCCCGTACTAGTGTACCAAAATTAGCAGATGTTTCTTGAAAGCTTGGGTAAAATCTGCATCGAGAGAAACAGTTCGTCGATTCCTGCATAAAACTTTTCTCTGTTACGCTAAACAAAATACGTGAATTATTTTGTTGTATCGAGTAAACAACAAGAATGTATTACATTATTAATACAGTCATGACAGTCATACTTGTTTCCTTAACGTTAAAATATTCAGATTCAACAATTATTTATTAACAGATTGACAAAGTGAACGTGCATCGTCAGATATTTAAATTGCTACTCAAACGATTCAGCTATACAAAAAACATTATTTATAATACACAGTAATGCCAGTTTAAATCGAAATAAATGTTATTAGAGAATCAAGAATAATTTTATCCGTTCGTTATACTTTATAAAGAATAAAATTTGATTCTAACTCTACCCTGTTCTAACCTTAAAATCGTCGACCTGTGGACACCCTAGCGAAGCATAAGTTTGTTTCGAAGGGAGAGAATCAGTTCAGGGGCACGATTTGAAATCTGTTCATAATTTATTTATTTGTTCGTTACACTTTATTGAGAATAAAATTTGACACTAACTCTATCCTGTTCTAATCTTAAAATCGTCGATCTGTGGACACGCTAGCGAAGCGTAAGTTTGTTTCGAAGGGAGAGAATCAGTTCAGGGGCACGATTTGAAATCTGTTCATAATTTATTTATTTGTTCGTTACACTTTATTGAGAATAAAATTTGACACTAACTCTATCCTGTTCTAATCTTAAAATCGTCGATCTGTGGACACGCTAGCGAAGCGTAAGTTTGTTTCGAAGGGAGAGAATCAGTTCAGGGGCACGATTTGAAATCTG